ATCATATAAATATATAATATATACTTTTAAGGTCCATTTTTTTTAAGAAATGTTTTTTGATTGCGATACTTTAATTTTTCATCTGATATATTTACGGTTACAAAATTAAATATTATTATTACATGTCATATTTTTAGTTTATAATTATTATTTAAAAAATAATTTTATTGTCTTAAAATTTCGTGTTAAATTAAAATTTTAAAAACAAATTAAAATAAAAAAATATTAATTTCACATTTTGAATTCGATTCGAAAATAAAAATAAAAGAAAGGGGATCTTAGATGGTGATAAAGGACAAGTAGGGTCCAAAAGAAAGTTCAATGTTCAAAGAATTGCTGCAAAGTGAGAATTGAGAATAGTATTATAAAATTTAAATATCATTAATCAAAAATTTTAAATTTGAATTTATAAAAATATCAAAATATTAATAGAAAATGCTTTCCTTATACATTTTTTTAATCTACTTTCCTTGTACTTAGGCTAGTTAATTTCGAGATATTAGGAGTAGTAAAAAAATTTTCAATATGAATCTGAATAGGGGGTGTGAATTGGTTGGTTTGGTTCGATTTTATATGTTATTGGTTTAATTTATCGGTTTTTGATTTGTAAATATGTTAAATCGATAACCAAATCAATAACATATTTCTTATCAGTTTTTGGTTAGTTGCTTTATGATACTTAATGGTTCAATTTTCGATTTAACCAATAAGAAAATACTCATATATATTAATATACACGATAAATTTTTTTCATATAAACCGTATATTTTTCAACATTTGACGTGAAAGTAATAATCATAAAAGTAACAATCATTTTTCTTGCAAGTATAGATACTAGACACATTCAAAGAAAAAAGTGTAAAGAATATGTTGTACTTATCGGGTTACCGATTTAACCATTAACAAAAATCATAAAATCAGAAATTGAACTGATAACCTAATATCAATGAATCAATAGTGTTTCTTTGGTTCGATTTATTAATTACATTAATTTTTGCATATCTTTAAATCTAAATTAATCAAGCCAATAAATTTAAAGATCGTATTAAAAAAAATATTCAAATATATACAAATTCCTAACAGGACAAAATGGACAAAACTTCGGTGTTCTTTTCATATATTTATAATCAAAGTTTTGCTGCCAATTTGAAATTCTCTTCTCTTTCTCTTAATTTATCGTTATCATAATTCATTAAGGGTTATTTGATTTGAAAAAAATAATTAATTTAAATATAATATTTTATATAAAATAATATAATATTTGATCGTAGAGGAAAGAAATAATTGATGTATCACTAACGCAATGATCGGACGTTAGAGGTATTTTACAAAAATTGTAAATTATATTTCGCGACCTAATCAACGATATTAAACTGGATTTTCTTAATTTCTTCGCATGTTATTTCTTTATATTATGAATTTATTTTATTAAAATCTTTGTAAACCAACGGCGACAACCCCCTCCCCCACCCTTCTAAAAAAATAAAAATAATTTTTTCACGCAACGATCTTTATTTGAGATGAGGGGCTAAAAAAACCCTTTTTGGAGAAAACAAATATTTTTATGTGATATTTTATAAATGGTCCAACAAGTCATGTCTATGTATTAAATGTTCATAACTGTGGCCACTGCAAATCAGCATATGGTAAATCTGACTAAGTAGCCCATAGAGTTCTCGTTTTATTTAATTAATATTTGTATTAAAATTTGATTGTATGGATAACGTATTATCGTAAATTTTATTTTTAAGGAGATGTTTTTTGTAGAATTTTTTCATTCTATAAGAATCTCAAATTTGAAATATTTTATTAGAATAAAAAGATTACAATCATTACATCGTAATGCATGATATCGCTCCATATATATGTACATTTAAAAAAAAAAGAATTTCATTCGATATTTATAATACAGTTGATTAAATTTGAATTTGTGCATTGCAACATTTTTGACAGCTCGACTAAGTTTGAATTTGTGTGTTGCAATATTTCTGAAGTCGATGACGCTCCCAACATATTTTTCTACAATTTTATGAGGTTCGAATTGATATCTCTGGTTGACCGTGAAAATCTAGATCACAATCATCTTACTATATATAGCTCATGTTGTCATCAACACATAGTGTTTCTATTTGTTTTTTTAATCGGGTGTTTGCATTGGAGTTCAACAGTATCAAAATTCATGCATTGTAAAACCCATTTCTAGAGAAAATGACGCTCATCACATGATTTTTTTATTTTTCGAGACTCAAACCCGAATTCTCTGTTAAGAATGAAAATCAAGATCACAATCAGCCCACTATAATTAATATATCATCCCAAAGAGTTCACTATAAAAAGAACTGTTAATTACATGGGATTTTCCTAGGAATTAGTATGAAAATGCGCAAGAATCTTATTTTTTTGCAAATTTTAATACTATTTCCTAGAAAAATCCTCATTGTAATTAATAATTTTCTTGTAGTGGCTATTTGTGTATTTCTCATTCAATATTTGCGTTAGAGTTTGATTAAATCCAAATTCATGCGTCACAAACTCACAATGTCAGTTTCTAGAGATAGTAACACTTCCAACATGATTTTTAAAAAAATATATTTTCAAATACTCAAAGTTAAAACCTCTTATTAAAAAGGAAAGAATCTCAATCAATCCATCACAAATTGTGTCGATATCAACCCATTGAGACTATAACAAAAACAATTTTTAGCAGCATTAATATTAACATTAATAAAGATACACATATTGAGTCAACATCAATTGTCCATTATAACATTTCTACATTTTTTTAAAATTCCCGAAAAAATAAAAAAAAGATTAACAAATAATCTACGATAAAATTTTTTAAAATATGAGATTGTAATTTTAAAAGTAAGATCTACTATCTTCTATAACACGTAAGTTTAACTTTATAATGATACAAAAAATATTTACACTGACAATATATATTATTTGAACGATCTTACCTAAAATCTTTCAAATTCATTTCTAAAAGTAAAACATAAAATATCAATTAAAAGATTCTCGAAACATTTGATATATTAATTCAATTGCACACCAACTTTAATTAATCTCTATTATAAAGATTTTCTTTTTTACCATAAAGTAAGTACAAGGTTTTTCTAACTTTTGTGCTTGGTATAAGTAGTATTCGATTGAGATAAAATTCAGAATTTGAAATCTATAATTTTTTATATTAATTTTAAGCTAATGTATAGTAATAGTTACATAATTCATGATTAAATTATCATAAAAATAAAATGTGATTTAAAATTTTAACTTTGATTCCATAATTTTAAAATTCTGAATTCGAATCTGATTTAATGTTTATGCTAACCCTAATCAACAAGTGTCCTTGTTGCTGACTCCTTGCCATTGCACAGCCAGCACCATTTTTTTGGTATTTTGCATCAACAATTTATTTTGAATTGCAATTATGATAAATATGACTTTCTTGGTATCTTCATTGCTTTAAAAAAATGTCACTCGATATTATTTTAAAGTTTAATTAATTTAAATTTATATTGAAAAAATTCACTTTAAAAGATTAAATATTCTTTATTAAAGAATTGATACATACTTATAATCACTTTAGGTATAGTTCATCTAAACATTCATCTATAACAAGAACAATAGATGCAGACATTCTGGAATCAGAAACTGGAAAAAAATACTTATAATCACTTTATTAAGATCTTTGATAATTTTTGTATATGTATTTAGAAATATCGTAATTATATGATAATATATATTCATTCTTAACTTGAAAATGAGTTCAGATTCTAAACATAATTATCTTTAGTAACTTAAAACTTTCTCGACTCGAATCTTAATCCAATATTTTATAGATATCAAATATCAAATAAAAAACCAAAAAAAAAAGGTATTGTACAACCATGTGATTTGGACTTCCAACCTACACCCTCCCTGACCCCACCATAAAAAAATATTTATATTATTATATTATTTTTATTTGTTATTTCGATAATTTAGTTATTTGATTATTAAATTTTTATTTTATTCGTAATGGTTCTATTTTTTATCTTATAATTTTCCTTCTCAATTTCTCCTTTTCCTACTCTATTTTATTTAACTTTAAAAAAATCGTGTTATATATATCGAATAAGTATGTTACTTTCAAAAATTATAAAATTTATATTTTAAAAAGACTTACTTAGAAATATCTTAGAATAATTTGATGGTGCATGTAAAAAATAATTTACCTTAGAATTTGGTTCGGGAAAAAAACTTATCGCACGTAATGTATGAATTAGACTTATATTTAAGCAGAGACGGATATATAAAGGGCGAGTTTGTTATTCACGAGGCTAAATTTTTAGAGAACGTTACAACATTTGACCACTTATCAAAAAAGAATTACTACCCCTAGACGATACAACAATTTAGAAATTTTAATACGTTTTTGTTTTTCCGAAATGGAGCATTACTCGCCTCACTTGTGGGATTATAACGGGTATGTTGTTGATGGGCCGTTACTCTTTACATTCAGTAGAAATTACCATTCTTATTTTTAAAAGCCCAAATAGGCCCAAAACTGAAAGGTGTAAGTAAGCCCAATTGTTTAGTGGACCATTAGCTTTTGATTGGATGATTTACATATATAACCACTTTTAGGACTACTATTTAGAATATTAACCAATTCTTGAAAAAAAAACGCCCTCTATAACGGTATTATGTGGTGCGAATATAAATTAATCAGGACTAATAAATGAGTATCGTACACCAGGTGAAAACAAATGTTACGTTGAGTGACGAGATTATGAAGTAGCGCTTATAACATATATATATATATATATAAGGTAGGTGTTTGGCTAAGAATTTTTTTTAGCTTATCTACGCGTTTGATAAATAATAAATAGAATTTACTATTTTATCCCTAATTTGAAATATTTTGAAATACTATCCCAAGGGGAATTTCGATAACAAACTAATCAATATAAAAATTTCCAAAACCAACATATATAATTGAAGTAGAAAACCAAAAATAGGAAAAATTAAAACCAAAATTTAATTTCTGCCTCTGAAATTAAATATTCTTGACTATATAATATAAAAATATAGAGAAAAGTGAAAGAAATTTTTGTCAATAATTAATTTTCATGGATTGCTGCAATTTTGCAAATAGGACATGAATTTTTATGCATAAGCCATTTCTTTATGCACTCAATGTGATGGTAGTGTCCACATTCTAGTTTTCCAATTTCATCATCAACTTTGTATCCTTCCTGCAAAAGATAATATTGTAAAATGAAAATGTTAGTATTAGTAATATTTTGTTATTGTGTGCTAAAAAATTTCAACGAAAGATAAAAGGCGATTCGGTGTACTAAAGTTCTTGCTTTTTGTGTGGGATCAGAGAAGGTTAGACTTTATTGGATCTGTTGTATATAATCTTATCTTGTATTTCTGGAAGATAGTTGCATTTTTAGAAAAAAAGCAGAATCGTACACTAAGCTCTAATTATACGCAGAGTCTAGAAAAGAAGGACTAACTAGGTCAACTATACTATTTCCATGGCTTTTACTAATGACCTTCAAGTCACACGACGAAAATAATTATCATTACGTAAAAGAAAAAAAAAAGGTACTCTAATATATTAAGCTCCTGCTATGTACGAGATTCCAAGAAAGGCCAGACTATATATGTCAGGACTAATTTATGCAACCTTACTTTGTATACGTGCAAGAGACTATTTCCTCAACTCGAACACACACATACCTTGACCTCCTAGTCACGTGACGTCAACTCTTTATCTCTCCAATAAAACATGAAAAATAAATAAATAGAAGTGTAGTAGTGAACTCACTTGGCAAATGGTACATTTCCAACTTTTTTCAGTAGATATTAGCATTGAATATGAGTCAATTGTTGAGAGCTAAAACTTTCTTATATATTCAACTATCTTCTCTTCTTCTAAACCTGTTCCCACATACCCAATCTTATCACTTAGTTCAACCAATTGCTGCAAAAAAAGATATTGTAAAGAGAAATCAACTTATATATCGTCAACGTAAATAATTTTTACACTATCAGTATATTTAAAAGACGAACCTCATATGACATATCATCTACATCTAGTCTCCAAGATCCATATTGATCATCCCCTTCTACATCTCTAGCATATTGCAAATTGTGTCTGAGGATCATAATCTACAACAATAACGAAAAATGCTCAAGATAGTAAATAACGACAGGACTGGAGCAAACATCAGGTGCGGATAAGTTTTTTTAACTTACATGAGGACGATGATGAGAACGAGGGCAATGATGTCTTGTATTAGACGTATGAGACCTAGAAATTGCTTCGCCATTCGTTGCTCTCCTCGCGATACGAGGGTGCTATTCGATTGCATTAATCCAAAACAATACACAATTTAGTAAGATTCTATTAGTGAATTGTGACATTGTAACATGGTCTTACTAGATGTAACGTTGTTCGGAGTCTTCAAAAATGTCATCAGATTATCTAAAAGTAATGTATTTTTAAAGGATCTGGATATAATGTATATGTTACAAGTTCATGATCATACCTTATATACGCGTTAAAAAATTCACCAAATAAATACAAATAGTCGATTTCGAATCCAATAAATCAAATGGGATCCGGTAGAATTTCGAATTCGAATTGATAAAGTTCAAATTTTGAACCATACTCTGGTTGTGACTTATGATATTTCTTTGACCAGAAATATCAGGGGAGACAAATGACAACAATCTCACTCTTTTTAATAGGGTTCTATTTGTCTAAACAAATCACAATTTACAATATGTAAAACAAATGAAGTTAAGTTCTATGTACTGACGATGTGAATAAAAATTCTTACACAATCAAGCCGTTTAAAAGGTAACTAGAAATAACTCTATTACTATTAAATAAGTGAACATTTTCCCACTATTGATCTCTCTCGCTCGATTTTAGCCTTAGACGGAATTCACTGCCTGATTGGGCTACATTCTCAAATTACTCGACTCATAGGCAACCGATAAGGTCTGGGCTTAACGGGGTCTCTCCCCTTTTTCAACGAATTTGAACCCCATCTCCTTCTGCCTCAAAATAAGTGTAAAGCAAAAAAAAAAAATTGTCCCAAAATAAGTGTTCTTTAATATTCGAGACAAAAATAATAATCGTTTTCTACTATACCCTTGTATTAAAAAACTTCCTAACACTGTTCAATTCTCAAGAAACATCTAATAAATAGTTGTAACTCACCCAACTATACCTTCTATTTGTTGTTTTTCTTAATGGTCTTGAAACGAACAAAAACGATACTTATTTTAAAACGAAAAAAGTACATTACACTAATAGTATATATAATTTAAATCCATCATAAAAGGCCATTACCTCTCTATTATTTGATCTTGTTTGTGGCTTAGGAGCAACAACAAAAGCAGAACAATTCTCAAAAAACCATCAAAAAACTAATACCTAATATTTATTGTTTTTCTAACTTAATAGTCCTGAAACGAACTAAAGCGACACTTATTTTGAAATGAAGAACATACGTTACACTAATTAGTATCTATAACTTAAATCCATCGCAAAAGACCATTACCTCTCTATTATTTGATCTTGATTTTTGCCTAGGAGCAACATCAAAAGCAAAACAATTCTCAAAAAACACCTACTAATAAATAGTTGTAACTTACTAAACTATACCTCATATTCATTGTTAGCGACACTTATTTTGAAACGAAAAAAGTAAAATCACACTGATCAGTATACATAACTTAAATCCAATATAAATTGCCATTTACCTCTCTATTATTTGATCTTGTTTTTGGCCTAGGAGCAACATCATAAGCAGAACCAATACCAGGAGGAGCACAACAAACAACATTAGTTGAATTCCTAGTACTTGTTGACAATGTTGTCATCTTTTTTCTTCTATTTTTCCTCATTTGCTTACTACTACTCTCCCATTGTGCTGCTGATCTAATAACTTCCGGTGTCGACGCGTCCGGTGAGTTTAATTTTCCCTTACATCCTAGCCCTCTAAAGCTCATAGACATAAATTTTTTCTTGTTTTTTGATACATTTGTGTTGGAAAATTGATGATTAGGGGTAGAATGAGTGTTGTTTTTTGGATTTTTGAATCTTGAATATTGATGTTCAATTGTTGATATTGGCATTGTGTTAAAAGAAATAATGAAATTTAGAGAGATCACAAAGTAGTAGTAGAAGAAGAAGAGAACAAATGAATTATTGTATCAAAGGATTTTTTGTTCATTTGTATATGGTTTTGAAATATTTGAAATTTGGTCCCTCCCTTTGTCCTATTAGGAAATTTTTGGTTGGTCAGCTGTTTAGTAAATGATCGTCGTTTTATTTTTTATTTTTTTTTGTAAGTTATGATGGTCTATATTAGATCGCAGTTTTATTACACGTTAGATGACAGTTTAATATTCTGTTCATTAAAATTTAAAAATATGGATAAAATCTAAATCGTAACCTAAATATCATTTGCATAAATGATCCGGGTGGTCGAAATCCTGATACTACGGATATAGTTGAGTAAAAACTAAGGGGTATTTTGAGGACAACATCAATCTGTGACTGAGATACCGACATTGATGAATCGTCCGATTAATGTGAAGACATTCATAGACGTTAGATGACAATCTATATGAAGATTACTATAAGTTAACATTTCGCTTTAACAACTAAAAACGTCATACTCAAATAAAAGAGGTTTATCTTTATAAATAATAAACATCGTCATATAAATTGAGACGGAGGAATAAGCATGCATGTAATTGTTGATTTTTATTGAAAGTTTTTTTTTTTCATATTTTGGATCTGTTGGAGGGTGGCAAAATTATTGATTTTTTCAAAATACAGTTGTTTTCTGTCTTTTTCTTTGTGATGTTTTTAAGTTGCAAACAAAATACTTGGTGTCTTATTATTAGTACTTTACTTTGTAAATATTCCTTTTGTACTTTTTACCTTCCCTTTTTACCTTTTCTAATAATTATAATTTTTTTGAGAAACATTTTGTCTAAGCCTTTAGGTAAATTTGAATTCTGGGGGAAATAAAAAGTGATTTACCTCTATACAATATTAATAACAATAAGAATAATAAATTAATAGTTTTCACTACTAAAAGATTACTCTTTTGGCTCTCGAAAATGTTTAATGACTATTTTCATAGATTTTTTGATTGAATCGGTGAGAATGAAAAAATAGTTATGTTTTCATAAAAAATAAGAGAAGATTTTCTTCATTATTTTCACTGTATTCTATGTATTTTTTTCAATGAGTTGATTAGGTAGAAAAGTCATGTTTCATAGTTTTAATTTCTTGCGTGGCGGATTCAGAATTTCCATTAAGGAATTTGGAGAAAAAAAAGTAATACTTACGATTTGAACTTATGACTTTTAGGTGTATTTCGAACTCCTCAATCATTAAGGCAACCTCTAATCTTACATTTGAAAAGTTCAAAATCAATACATAAACATAAAAATTCTTTAAAATACCTATAAATATATAATGTAATTTTTTACCGAGAAAGTTCAGATGAACCTCTTCAACTACCTCTAGATCCGTCCCTGAATGGTAGCTGATAATAAATATTTTATAAAATTTGTTGAGGTACGCAAAAATTAACTCGACCATCATCATTATAAAAGAAATGAACCTATTGTTATATTTTCTTTATCCTTTTGGCTTTGCTGTCAACAACTTTAATCAATTTAGTCAGTGTTCAGTACTATTTTGGAGTTGAATTCATAATTATAATAACTTTTAGGTCATTTCACTCCTTTCTATGAGCTAACATCATTTGAGCATGGTTAAAAATCCACTAATCATATAATCTGTTAAAAAAAATAAAAAATACACACATTTATATCGTGGCGGATCTAGAATTTTTGTTTAGAAATTTAAAAAATAAAAATAACATATCAATAAGTCTTTAGTAATGGAAATTTTAAATTTTTTGGGTTCAAATCTACTTTTAACACGTTTTTTAAAATAAAAAAGACTAAAAAATTAAAAAAGGAGGTGAAATTAAAAAAAAAACTTTAAAAAACTGAAAAAGAAAAAAATAAGATGATTTCAGTGCAAAACTCAATTTCAGGAGGACTTGTCACTGAACGTTCAGCTTATTCTTGTTATTGGAGGGGTTCAATAGATAGATAGATAGATAGATAGAGAGAAATACAAAAAGAATTACTATATATATACCCTGTAAATTTTTTCCGAGGGGGTTTGCGCGAACCCCCTGGAGATCACGTGGGTTCGCCCCTGCCTTTATATATTCAGTTAGTGAGGTTCGAAAAGAGTGATATATACGCGATTATATTTTTAAGAAAAAATAATAGTGAGAAGCTAATGAACTCCCTTCATTTTAGTTTGTTTGTCTTGTCTTCATTTCAATACACTTAAAAAATAACTTGTCTTTCCTTTCCTAATTATATTTTCATTTCAAATTTTCACATTACATGTTTAAGACCATAAATTTAAAGCACATTTTAATACAATTTGCATATATATTTTTAGTTTAAGACCACAAAATTTAAAAATATATATTTTATTTTCTAAAAACTTGCGTCAAGTTTAAATTAGACGACAAATAAAATGGAGGGAGTAAATCCTTTTTATTATATTATTGTGTTTACGATTTCAAAAAATGATAGTAAGAATTTCACAACTTTCTCCTCATTTCGCGCCTAGGGTATTCTTCGGGGTTGGGGGTGTTTTAAATTGGATATTCGTGGTTGTAAACATAATAAAATAAGAAAAAAGTTACTAACCTAGAACCACAAATGTCTACTTTGAAACCAACGAAAAAGAAAACTCTGAAACCCTAGCCGCGAAATGAGGGATAAGGGGTGAAATCGTTTCTGGAAAATAATAAAATGAGGAGAAAAAGAGTTAGAATAACTAACATTATAGAACTTTCAATAATTGATTACTCTTACTAAAGCTTCAAAATTCATTAATTTGGCCTAAAAGAAAGAGAAAGTGATACTTTCAATCTCATAAAGAATTCGTCATAGACACACTCATATACATAAAACCAATAAGATAAATATTCTCACCTTGGACATGTTTTTTCATAAATTATAAATAAATTTTGATTAAAATACATATAAGATCTTTAAAATTGTTTATAAAAATAATATTATGTATGTATATTAATAAAATATATGTATATAAATTGTTGGTTCGGTTGGTTATTTATTCAATTTTTTCCGAACAAAACCATAATCAATCCATATACTATCGATTTTTAAAAATCTAAAACCAAACCACACCTAACCCAAATAAAAATTGGTTAAGTTAGTTGTTTTGGTTCAGTTTTTCGGTTTGGATCAATTTTTATCCAAATCGTGAATACCCCTATTAGTAGATATTTCAAGTGTTGGTACCTTCTTTAAATTTTGAAAGATTTACGTTTAGGATCTTTATTAAACGTAATCAAAATTTACATATTTTTGTAAATTTAAATTATATTGATTTTGTCAATGTCAAACTCCAAATAATTTTGATGTATCTAAGTGATGATTCTACGCTATTTCTTTGAACAAATAACTCAACAATAAACTAATTGAATTAATAGATAATATTAGATCAATTCTTAAAAATTATGAATTCATATGCATCATGATTTTGAGAATAAATATACTCACCTGCATTTTAAAAAAATAATATACTTTATAAAATAAACAGATTTTTGAACATTTGACTAACCGGAGTGATGATATCTAGTTTTATGTTGGGCTTTGCATATAATTAAGGGGAATATTCACATATAGCAAATATAAAATTTATATTTGTATGTTATAGTAAAGTTTGCATAATTGCATTTCATAGCAAACATATAAATGTATAATTCGTTATATATATACAATTGAAACGAACTGTATAAAACTAAGTGTATAAAATGAATAAAAGAAAGAGACTTGAGCAGAGAATTGAATAAAACGAAAAGAGAAAGAGACTTGAGCAGAAAATTGTATAAAATGAAGTGTATAAAACAAATTGTATAATTATAAGTGTATAGAACGATTATATACAATTTGAATTTTTATAAAATGAGAAAGAGAGAAAGGCAAAAGAGACTTGGGCAGGGAATATACAATTGAATCGAATTGTATAAAACGAGAAAGAGAGAAATTATATACAATTTGAATTTGTATAAAACGAGAAATAGAGAAAAACACAAGAAACTGGGCAGGAGAGTATTTTTGTTGTATAATTATAAGTGTATAGGACGAAAATATATGTATTTTCTTGTGTATATACAATTTTCTCTCACTTTATATAAACAGAAACACAATTTATACACTTCGTTTCTGTTTGTTTAAGCAAGAGAAGTGAGAGTGGCAAGCGAGATCAGAGAGAGTGGCGAGCGTGATCAGAGAGAGGGGAACAAAAATATATGTATTTATACAATTTTCTTTCGCTTTATACAAATAGATTCAGATATACACTTGTGTTTGTATAAAAGTGAGAGAAAGCGAGTGATAGATAGAGCGAGAGAGGAGAGTGGCGAGCGAGAGTTTGAGGGAGAAGGGTGACTCGCAAACAGTTTGTTACGAAATACAATTAAATCAAAAAGTGATTAATTTTTCATTATATACGATTTTCTATATAATTAAAGTGGTGGACCTAGAATTAGGATTTACTAAATTTTATGGGCTTTGCATTGTGGAAACGACTTCAAGTGATAATAATTGATATTATAAAGTTAAGTTATACATATTATAATATATTTATATATATTTAATTAAAAGTTATTGAGTTCAACTCAATTTTATTTCAAACATGGTGCTTTGGTCTTGTACGTACATTCATGACGTGTCACTAAATAATTGGTCATACAATATGGGTTGAGATTCACAAGATAACAAGAAATAACAAGAATTAAAAAAGAAGAGTTTTTTAATTTTTTTTAATATATATATATGTATACCAAAATAAATAGTGAATGTGAAAAATATCCAAAGTCAGAAGATTTCTGGAATTAATTATTTTATTTATCCTTTTCTGAAAAATTGCATAATATCTGAGTCAATTCTGATGATGTTTGTAGGCCATGTTGATTTAGTTGTGTCAAATATGTCTTAAAAAATGGTAATTCAAATTTTCAATAATATTAGTGGCAAGTTATGATTTTTGCTAAGAGAATTCAGACTATAAAAAGTAAATATACGAGGAAGTTAAAGAATATTATTTAACAAATAATATAGAAAAAATTATATATAATAGCAAATTAATAACTTAAAATAAGTGGAGTAGTGCTTGATTTAATTGTGCCCCATAGCAAACATTTGTCAAAGTTTGCCAGTCGCCTCTCTCCCAAAACTTTCGCTCGCCACTCTCCCTCTGCTCGCCTCTCTCGCTTTATACAACAGAAGTGTATAAATTGTGTTTCTGTTTTGTATAAAGCGAGAGAAAATTGTATATGCACATGCAAAAACATATATCTTCGTGTTATACACTTTATAATACAATTTACAAACATTTTACTTCGATTCAATTGTATTCAAGTGTAAATTTTAAACAAATATTGCAGCGAAAAAGGTCACCGAATTATACAATTGTGAATTATACAATTACAGTGAAATACAATTTTCTCTCGCTTTGTACAACGGAAGTGTATAAATTGTGTTTTCATTTTTGTATAAAGCGAGAGAAAAACATATATTTTCTTCCTATACACTTATAATTATACAATATACAAACATTTTACTTCGATTCAATTGTATGCAAAACAAATTTTATACACATATTGCAGCGAATTATACAATTGCGCATTATACAATTGCAGTGAAATAGGCCAGCGAATTATACAGTTGTACATGTATAGCAAATTATACGGTTATATATTTGCTATGGAGCGCAATTATGAAAACTTTGCTATAACATACAAATATGAATTTTTTGTTTGCTATATGTGAAAGTTGCCCAATAATATATATACATTAAAAAAAATTGACCCATATGTATAAGTATAATTTTTCGATGAAAAATAAAAAAAATATTAGTTCCACCTGATAAGTAGATTCAACGTGCAACTTAAATAACTCAAATATAATTTAAATTTTAAATCCGGCTCGATAGAGCAAAATTTTTTAGTGTGAAATACAAGATTTAAAGGTATGAAGAAGAACATATTGCAAAGATCCTTGTAATGTTGGAAGTATACAACATATGAACCCTACTTTTGTTGGATTTTTTGTGCCCATATCTTGTTTTTTTTTCTGTTATCCATTGAGATTTTCCATGTTATAAATGTCAGTAAATTAAAAAATAATAATACAAAATTAACTAACACTACAATGATTGATTATGGGAAATAAATTCCTTTTATTTCTATGTCCACCATCCATGTTTGCATTTTTCTTAACCTAGATAGATTTATTTCTTTTCTTACAACAAGTGTGTTTTGTTTTGCATGGACATGAAAAATATTAGAATATACGTTCTGTGAGTTCAATTCAATCTATTTTTTTCTCTCACTTAAATTTTATACGTAAAAAAAGGATAGTTTAAAATACAAAACACGAGTCCGGGGAAGGGCCTCCCCTCAAGGAATATGAAATCGTGCACAATATACTTTGACGCTAGCAATAATTCTATTGTTGCTTTAAATATTTCTTTTTCGAACTATATATATATATATATATATATATATATATGAAAAGAATGGATATATATAAAAGGTATAAACTTATTTTGAATTTGATATATTTAAATTTTGAATTTATCACTGAATAGTACTATATTATATATTATACAGAACTTAATTATATGTCTCTTTTTTTCAAGCATATAGCTAGATTTCTTTCTATTCTTGCAAGAAGTGTGTTTTGTTTTGCATGGACATGAAAAGTACAAGGGAGAATGTGATGTGTTACGTGACTTCAACTGAATTCATTGCTTTAATTATTGTTTTTTTCCTTCATTTTGTACACAAATAAAAAGGGATATTTTGGTGCACGAAATATAATGTGTTCACATAGGGTTATCGAAAAGGCTAGTTGCATCACTCCAATAAAGTGTGATGTAGACCGTCTATGTATTCAGACTCAAACATCAATAATCGATTTACCGTTCAAACTCATAATTTATAGGTGATAAATTTATTACCATTTTTTCAAGACTCCCCTCACTTTTTTTCTTCAAACGTTTAAATTCTGAATTTGCCACTAAACAACTAGTACTACTATATAGAGCTTATATGTCTCTTTAATTTATTTCAATCATATACATATCTTGCTTCTATTTATCTCTACATTGACACAGCAAAAATATTTATTTTGTGAAAGAGTCAAATATGGATTCAAATTCTTCTGAATATCTTCTAAACCATGCAACAACTCTTCCTTCTGTTTATTATCAAACCAATAATAAAGAGAATGGTAATTTTATTGATTTGGGACTAAGTCTTAGAGCTTTGCAGCCTGAGGCCTATTATCCATCTACTCATGGTATGTTTATGTTCCCATCTTTTACTTCTCAAGACTATTCTTCAATCAACTCTTTGGTCCATTCGATATTTGGTATCTGTATTATGATTCGATTAATTCAGATTTGCATTATATAAGACCTATTTAAGAATTCTACCAGACTTCTTCATACCTCGAGTCTCTGGTTAAGGGTGAAATATCCCAAGTCTTTTTCTTAATCATTGTATACTGATGTTATAAGATTGATGAGCATATTTTTAATTTGGAAACAATTTAATATTTGATGTTATTTTTATGAATCATTCTTATTCTTATGTATGTATATATATATATAGTTATAGAAGTGACATGAAAAGTTTAAAGAGTGTTTTGACCAAGCTATTGGGAAGTTGAAAATGTTTTGTTAAAATTCATTGATATTAGTGAAACTAATATATAATGGATTTAATCTATATTGTTCGGACTATTTAAAAAAGTCATTGTGGATGTGCATCGAACCCTTCATAAAAAGCACATTATTTGATGATATGATATAGCTTCGATAACATTTTTAGAGAGTCCGAACAACTTAATTAGGACTTAATTGTTAAGTACTTTATGCAGGTGGCTATGATGAGTTGATAGATTGGCAACATTTGCATCCACAATTAAGCAAAAATTCAAGAAGTGAATATCCTACAAATTTTAATAATTATGATGATGAAAGTGAAGGGATTCAAAGCAAAGAGAGATGGGAATATGTGAAGGTTAATATGGATGGAGTTATTGTTGGAAGAAAAATTTGTCTTCTTGAACATTCAAGCTATTCTAGCATTGCAACACAACTTGAAGACATGTTTGGTATGTTCCAACCTATCAAAATTATCATTTATCATTACACTATCATTAGGTCATTTTTAATGTAGTTATAGGTAGGTCGCGATGTCAAATAAGCGAATTGCACTGAATTTGAACTGAACATGTCAAAACTGAATTAATAAATGAGCAGGTGAATTCTTCGTTTTTTTAATGATATATTTAATTACCTCATAATTTGTTTTTTTTTTCTTTTATAAATGGTGTAAAGGTAAACAAAATATGGATGGGCTAAGGCTATTCCAAGATGGTTCAGAGTTCTCATTATTTTACAAAGATAGGAATGACCAATGGAGGATTGTTGGTGATGTTCCATGGAAGTGAGTATTTTTTTTAATATCAAAAAGTATTTTTTGATATTATTAGGTAGGGACAATTAAATTAATCTATAAAAATATGATTTGTCGTAGTCGACGTTCAATCAAATTAATAATTGAACGATAAAATTAACTTATACAAATATATTTGTCTGAATAGTTTAAGTTCAATCGAACTAATGATTCATTCATTTGTCTATATTGACATGAGTCAGATTTTATTCAAACTAGGTCTAGATGACTAATCCAAAATGATCCGTGAGAAATATGGGGTAAAGGGATTAAATTAAACCCCTTAACTTGAGTTTACATGATTTGACTTGTGATAACATGTTTGTTATCATTTTATAAAATTTAAATTAATGTTATCACCGTATAGATTTATCATACTTTATAAATAACATTATCATTTAAATATTTTTAATATCGTTAATACATAAAACTTAAATTCTTATTATTCATACAGCGAATTTGCAGATCGAGTGAAGAGGCTAAGAATTATGAGGAAAGATGAAGCATTCTTCCCCAATTGATCATCTTTTACTAAGTTACGTTTTGATAAATTTCTGACATGTTTTAGTTGTATTAATATTTCTATTAATTGAGTGACCATATTAATTAGGTCCATGGTAATATATAGCTTATGTGGTATTGTATTAAAAGTTAATTGTTTCTACATCTTAATAGATCAATGCTTTTTTTTTTTTTTGGCTTCAAAATATTTGTCCATTAAACTTGATTATAAATATTAAGATTATTAGATAATAAATTTTTTTTAACTAATTTTATCGTAAATTAAAATGTCTATTAGATAATTATCTATGATTGAAAGATCGAACTTAATAGCGGGCTTGTAGCCCAAGGTGATTGGATCGATATTGGGCCAGCCCATAAGGTTGGGCTTCCCTAGCCTACCCTATCCAATAACAAACCTAGATCACAATATTTTTTTTTTATTAAAGTCGAGTTATTTGATACCTTTTATGATGAAATGTAACATATGAATGGTGAAATCGATTGGAATCCGATTTTATTTTCATTATACTTATTTCCATTTTATTTAGTCAGTAAAATCTTCTAACTTCTTGTACAGATCGTGTATTAATCTACTATAACTATAGGATACTTCCCTTTCGCGAATTACTGCGTTTATCCTAGTGATCCACAAACGACGAAAATCTCTCTTTTTCCTATCCCTATCTCGATGAGCCGAAACTAAAGCTCTTATTTTCTGTTGAGTAATAGTTCTAGTAAGCCTTGAATGAGCCCCTCAAAAGCTTGATGCAAATAAATAAATTTTTGTTCTACGTCTCCGAGCTATATATCCCCGTTTAATTGCGTGGAAAATGAGAAAAAAAATCTTAACAAACATGAACAAGTTTTAGTTAATAATTTCTTTTTTAAGTTTAAAATTAAAATTTTGACTTACAGATTCGATAGAATTTGATGACAGAGAATAAAACTCCTAAATTTACATTTGAAAATTCATCTAAACATGTATGACTAAATTATCAGAAGACCAATAAATTGTATTTTTTCTAAAATTTTAATATTTATAAACTTAAAATCCTAATTTTACTTTTTAATGCAATATTTTATAGGATCCTTTAATTAATGAAAAAGACCTTTCACCTTTATATTATTGCCTGTCCGTGGTCCAACCACAAATAAACTAAATGAATTTTAGACATTTAAAAGGAAAGAAAAGAGAAAAAAAAGAAGCCATGGGCTAAGATTTATTTATTAGTTTTAGATTCAATATTCAATATTTGTATTGAACTCCGACTAAATTCAGATTTACGCTTTGTAATGCTCATTTCTACGGGGCAGAAGTTTCAGATTTATCTCAAACTCGAAATCTTTAGTTAAAGATAAAAGTGATCTCAACCACTCGATTACAATTCACTCGTATTTTGAGGCCGACTAAATTCATATTCGCGCAGTGTAATGCTTATTTCTGGAGTCAGTGATCCCAATCAAAATCTTTTCATTTTTCAGAAGTTTAAGCTCAAGACCTTTAGTTAAAGATGAAGTCGTTATCATTTCTGTTGATATATTATTATCACTAGGATGCAAATTAAATAGCTATTTGTATCAAAAAGAAAAATGTACATTTACAATCATTAAGTCAACAATGATCAATGAATTGTGTATATAATTTTGCAAACTATGAAAGGTAGCTAGCTAGCTAATATTGTGTATTAAAGGTGTAACAAAAAAGGACAATGCCCATGAGAAGCAAGCTGTAATATATCCAATTCTTTGATTGAATCTTTATTTAAACCTTTAATTAATTGCCCTAATTTTCTAATTCAAGAAAAAAAAATAGCAATTGAAGTCATTTGAGGGTACATTTTCCCAATTTGAATATGGCCCATTATTTGTGGACTTTCCACTAGTAAGTATGTCTATATAAAGGAATCATTACCGCAAGACATAAAGATCGTAATTATTTATATAGTGAAATTAATTTTTAACAGAATGAAAAAGACATGGAATCATAACCATGTTTTGCTTCGTGCAAAGATAGTTAAACAAGGAAAAATATATTCAAAACATACGATTTTAAAATTGATAAATTTTTCTTTTACTATAAGTTTATTTATTGTCGATATTGGTATGTAGAACAGGTTATTATCAGACTATGGAATAGGTCGTAACTAACAAAAAAAATTAGAATTCTTTGATAATCCATTATTAAATAGAATACTAATATTTTCTATTTGGCGTCGAGAGTATCGATGATTATAATGTCCAATCTTTACGGAGGTTTTTCGATTTGAGTTATGAGTATGAAGATATCTAGATAAAATATTCATCTTTCATTTGGTGAATCGTATCTATCTTTACTAGGAATATTAAAATTCTAAAATTATTGAGAGAAAAAAAGTTGTTGATTGATCTAATTAATTATACTGAGATCAATTTTTTAATGCTTCATTTTATTGGTTAAAACTATATGTAAGAAAAATATTAATCGGTAAATTTCACTTTTATTCTTTTTGATATATGACTTAGTATATCTAACCTTCAATCAATTAAAATATATGATTTTGGTTCCTTCACGAATAAAATATGTTTTATTTGACTATTTATAAAATTATATTATAGTACGAACTTAACAGAGTAATCGATGAATAATTATGATAGACGAAAAATTTATTTTCAAGAAAGACAAAGTTAACGTTTTGACAATTTTCATTTTTTTCAATGATTTTAATGATTATTAGTTTTTATTTATTATTAATTAATAGGTACATAAATATTATTTATGTTATTTGAATTAATGTTTCAAGTAGGTATTACTAAAATTCTCCCATTATAGTTGGCATGAATGGCGCAATTATTATTACATTCCGACAATAAAGTTTTTATTTTTTTTTAAAAAAAAGTCAAATATTATGCAATTAAAGTAAAAAGAAATAAAGACCAAGAATATGTCAAGCTTTATACCCACAAAAAAATATATATTAATTTAATGGTGTACAGCCATAAAGTTTTAACTAATTAAAAAGACCAAACCATATCCAAATAAAAACCCTTTAGATTTTTTTTTTTTTTTTTGCATTTTCATACGTAGTTATTAAGGGTGTGTTTGGTAGTTGGAAAATATATTTCTAAAAAAAAATGTTTTTTTTTACTTATTTTTTAGTATTTGATAAGAATAAAAGATAGTCTCAGAATATTTCTACATTTATAATCTAGGCAAATATTATGAATTTTACAGTTGAGATCGAGTTAACGGGTATGAGTGAGAGGTTTATGTAATAGCGAAGCTAAATATTTTGCTAAAACTGTTCAAGATTTTAATGTATATATCAATAGGAAATATATTTGACCTATATACATAATATTAGTACTTTGTATATATATATATATAGAGAGAGAAAGATATAACTTTCCGACGAAGAATATTTTGACGATCCTTCGATCTGGGGGTTGAGAAGAGACGATAAATATAAAATGTTGTTTATTTATTGTATGGAATTTGTTTTTTCTACCTCTAACAAAAAGTCATTTTCTTATTTCTAAAATTATCATCTTATCCTAAAAAAAAAATATTTTCCTCCGTATCGGACAGGCAAACACACACTAAAAATACTATTACTTCTAAAAGTGCCATACTTTTATGTCTCTATGCATAGCTACCTACTAAAATGTCAATAAGTTTCAATGTACCTGTAACACATTATTGTCTTTTGGCCAAAGTTCATGTGCTCTATAGACTTTATAGTCATCAACAAGAAGTTGATCATTGTTTGGAATATGAAAAAGTTATATTTGAAAAATAATAAGAGGTCCTTTAAGAAATTGGTAGTATTGACAAAATCAAGAATCAATAACTTGTTTGATGTAACTAGAAAGGAATAATTAAAGATCAATTATTAGAAAAGATTTATTTTTATAAATAAATAAATGTACTAAAAGTTATATGAAAAAAGGTCCACAAGTTTTTATTTGCAATAGTTCATCACTTTTTTAAAAATATATATATATATTGTGCATTTTATTCTCATGATTAAATTTTTTTCTTCAATAATCATTTTTAGATGGCATCCTAGGTGCATGCATCAAAATAATAATTCCATTCAATTCATGTCTTTTTCTAGGTTATTGATTTAAAATTTTTATGGACAATTTTTTATAGTTATCTTTTAAGAGATTTGATAATACAAATATTTTTATAACGTTAATATGATGGATGCATTAAAGTGATAAGCTCAATCATGTGCTCTTTTTAAGTTACTTATCTCGTTTTAATGTTGTTATCTTTTAGGTAATTTGATAGCGTAAGTATTTGCATACTATCATCATAATAGAAATTAAAAATGGGAGTTACGTTGCGACGTTATATTTAAAGTTGACACAATGTGATTAGGATTTCATTTTTTCAAGTCGAGAAATAACCTCTTACAGAAATGTAAAATAAAATTGTGTACCTAAAATCAAATGTGGTTAAATCCTTCCTTACATTCCATGCATAACAAAGAGCTTACTTGTCCTCAACTTGCATCTAGATACCCTCCAATTTTAAATGTATGCAAATTTGTATGAAATTAAACAAGTGACGTTAAATATCCTCCGCTTTTGAACGCACACAAATTTATACTTTCTCTTTCTCATTTTATGTGACACTTTTCGTTTTTTAAGAGTCAAACAGTTTAACTTTGACCGTACATTTGCGTATGAAATTTTCAAAATTTTTAAAATGAAATTTATATATTCGTAAACTACGTAAAGAGTACTATAAATCACGATAATTAATAATTCAAAATGTAAAAAAGATCTATAAAAAAATTACGATCAAAGACACTTATTTGAATCTCGAAATGCGTAAAGTGTCACATAAAATGAGACGCAGGGATTAAAAAGTAAAAAAAATAACCTATGCATCATACATGACGTCCTACACAACAATTCACGTCTTGTGACGTAGCATCTTACGTATATTATATCATGTCTTATGTAGCATCTTACGTGTATTATGCCGGATAGTGTACACCATCTACTTGCAGTGTTCAAAGTTACCATA